TAGCGTATTCTTTATTCTGCAGCCACAGCTACATAAAACAAAACAAACAAACAAAAGAAACAAGAAGGCAAAGAGAATAAACTGCACTGCTAATGCAGGGAGGGCAAACCTCAGGAGTGATGGGAATCTATAGCTGATCATAGGCAGGTTAGTAACTGTGTAGTACGTACTCTTTATAAACCAGCTTCTGATGGGGCTCTGAAAAGTATTTGCATTTGGTATGGGAATCCTGAAGACTCTTGTTTCTTACTTAGAGTCATATATCAGAGAAGGGATAAATGCTGCTGCGCACTCTGCTGTGCCTTGGGACGGGTTTTCTCTGTGAGGAACAAATAGCACTTCCTCATTCATTCTGTGAAATTGGGATCGTCCTGATCGTCCGCGTGTGAATGTCGGAAAGCACACAACGGGTTGGCACGTTTCTCTGGCACGCTCAATGGGTCAGAACTCTGCAGTGTGAATGGAACTACTTATATCTTGTGGTAATGGATTTAAGTTAGAGCCTGTGATTAACTTTTCAGTTTTGACAGTTGAGACAGAAAAGAGACCAAAGCTCACAGAATTTGCCTAGTTGAAAAAATTAAATAACATTTCCTTGTGTTAAAGGCTGGTGTCATTAGTGAATAAGACGTTTTAACAGCACACCAAGACATGACAGTCTGTAGGAAAAGTCCATTCTGGAAGATGGTGGGGGTTCTGCTAAGGCTTGAATCATCGGAAGCCCATCTGACCGCCATTTTATATTAAAAGCGACTTTGAAGCTAACTTGGGCTTTGGCAGTGCAGAACCAGCTCTCTAACTCTGTGTGGAAAACTGTTTACACACCCTCCCCCTTTGAAGGGACAGCCTGTGTGTTTAACACGACTGGTTCCCCTTATGCTTATCTGCGAGCACAAGGACCTTCGTGCCCTCCAGCATTTCCTGGGGTGAGACTTTGAGCGCATGCTACGGTTGGGGTGATGAAGAGTATCTGAGCAAGGCACTGGGATGCTGAGTTGAAGAGACATTGCAGTTCCTGTCGTTCCTTATATGAGAGTTACTTAGGGGTGAGGGTTAGAGGTGAGGGAGAACCAGAGGAAGTGGGTGTAGAGGTTCAAGATGAATCATAGATGACAGCTTTTGATGTGTGGGAAATGGCAAATGGCGGGGCTGTTCCCCGAGCTAGGAATGCAGATGGAAGTGAATGGCTCAGAATGAGAAATCCGGTGTCAAGCATGTTGAATTTTAGAGGTCATGGCGTGCATCACTGTGGGTAAGGGTAGCGTCTTTTAAGGGTGAAGGTGGAGCTCGGTGGGAGAGAGTGTGTCTGAGACTGATAGGATTAGCTTGTTTCAGGCTCATACCAAGGATGCTGAGTTTGAGTGAAAGAAAGTAGAAAAGAGTTTTCCATATTAAGTGGAGATGAGGGCGGGGCTTGCAGAATACACTCAGATGCCTAACAGGCATGGGTACGTGATTTTGGAGTAGAATGGCGGTGTCCTTCAATGGGAAAAGTGAGATCTTTGTAACCCGAGGCACATTGGTTTGAAAACATCCCCTCAGGCCTAGAGGACTTTGGCGAAGGTGAGTTAGGATTATGGGGGAGACCACCGGAAACTCAGTCAAAAGCAAGGATCGACGTGAGGTATGTAGGAGGTGTTGGTCTTCATGGGATGCGACTTCTGGCAAGTCTGGAGTTTTGGGAGGCAGATGCAGAGCAGTGAAGCAAACACACATCCCAGGTGGAAAGGCTCAGGAACTGGATGATCACTTAATTGAGAGTAGCCCAAGAAGTGGAAAATGCTGGCGTGTCAGTCGTCAATGTAAACCATGCTCCGTGACATAACTGAGTGTGTATTTTTTAATTAGAGTTTTAAAAGTAGTGTGCCTGTGTGTAATAGTCTAATACATGTGTGACTGGCAGTCTAGAAGTCACCTATTGAAAATCAATGAAAAATAAGACCTATTTTTTTTTGTCACAATTCCAGACCAGTAAACTCATCTTTGACGTCTCTCAGGTAGAATATCACTCATGCTTGTAAAACACTGGCACCTTATCATTGAAATTTACCAACTTTGCTAGTTAATGGATATACTTCTGTAACCGGATTGGCCCAGAATGTTCTTAAATCAGCTAGAAACAGCAGAAACAATCCTCTATACATTGAGAATTGGGTAAAAATATAAAGTGCAGGTTTTGAGTCTCCCTTTGTAAAATGGTACAAGAACACGAAATAAAATATATTCAACATGTATTTCCGGTGTGCCAGGTGTCAGTAAATCATGGTAATGCTGAGTAAATCATCCAGCCTACACTGAGCGTGCGTCTCCTCTGTGCAAGGTGATGATATCACCACGCTAGTTTGGAATTCTCCTACAGAGTGTAATAACTCCCATAAGGTTACAAGGGAGGGAACGTTCATGACTTGAGTGTAATCACAGAGAAGCAAGGCCCTAGGTCCTGAGTCTTTTAACATAATTACGTCTTAATATCCTTGGAAGTAATTAAGTAGAAAACAGTGGTAGTTGTTTTCCTCGTGGAAAAATAAAAACAATTTCTTTCTGTGTGTTAGGTGGTTGGTCTGTCTGCGTGCAATCCTTCCCCATGCCATGGAGATTAGCACAGATTCTTAGGGAAGATGATAAAAATGGAGACAGGGCTTCAGATTCAAATCCCAGACGTTTTAAGGGCAGTGTCTCTACCTTTGCTCAGTGTGCAGCTCCCTCTGATGCTGACAGTCTCTGTCGGGCTGAGGAGTAGAGGGAACGAGGCCTCACCTTCATCAGCAACAGTAGACACGGTAGTGTCTACCAGCCTGGGAAGAGCTCTTGGGCTACAGTGTTTCTGCCTTGAGGCCTTGGATTGGCCATGCCCCTACCTCTGTGGTAACTGGGAAGAATGAAAGACTTGCTGTTCAAGCTTGGCACTGTCCCAGTCTCCACTTTCAGTTGTTTGACTCTGTATTTGACCTCTCAGTTCTCTGTTGTGTTTAGAGTCTTTTAATAAGAGTTTATCTGGAAAAGGGCCTTAGGCCTCGTCAGCAGAGGCCTACCTCTCGTTTGATAAAGAATCTGGCCCACAGACCAGAACCAGATCTCATTGCTCTGCTCTGGGCCTCTGTTTCTGTTGCAGAGGGATTTGTGACTTAACTAACACACACACACACACACACACATACACACACACACATACACACATGCACACACAAGCACACACCCACACCTGCACACACCCATACATACACACACACAAACGCACATGGGTGAGCACACACAAGTGCACACACACATGCACACAGTGCACACACATACAAACAGTCATGCATGTGTGCACATGCGCACATGCACACATACCCGCAGCACATACATACACGTACACACACACCTGCACACTAGTACACACACACACATCTTTTCTAGGTCCTGGCTTGCTTCCTGCTCTTGCTCTCTTAGTTCCACACATTGCTCTCATAGGGAACAGTTATCTATCGATGTTAATCCCAGCTGTGGAACTACTAGGCAGCCCCTGGTGAAGACAGTTTGTCCCCTGTCTAGTTGACAGCAGGTCAGGGACAACCGAGATCAAAGAGTTGGGAGAATGTGCACCCTGGAGATCCATGCTCTTTTCTGTCCCTCAATGGAAAGGGCTCTGAGAGAACAATGCATACCCATGTCTTATTGGTTGCTCAGCAGAAGGGTTCTCTATACAAACAAATAAAATGCACATGACAACTTTGCTAAAACCGAGCAGAGTCACAAAATATTTATAAGCAGTTAGCCAAAAGTGTTACCAAAGATACTCACAAATGAGAGAGGGCACCGTTTCCTTAGTCTTCACATGAAATACTTGTTGGGTCAGATTCTGCATAGAGTAATTTAAGGCTTTTTTTTCTGCTCTATTTGCATCTGGTGTGTGTGTGTGGGGGGGATCACATAAGTTGTTTTAAGAGATCTCATTAGCAAAGAATGTGGAATGTTTCCATGCTGTTAAGTTTTGGTATAATACAAAAGCAGGTTAACACTGCCACATCTAGCATGCAGACCTAGCTGCAGGGCAGCTTCTAATGGGTTAGCATGAGGGTCACCACAGCATGTTGTATCTCCTGCGCTACCTGGCTTGTGGTGTGCCCATTAAATAAATGTAAACAGTACAATATGGTTACCCTAAATTATACATATGTGTGTGTATATATATATATATGTATATATATAATATATGTGTATATATATATGTGTGTGTGTGTATATATATATATATGTATATATATATTGTGTGTGTGTATATAGATAGATAGATAGATAGATAGATAGATAGATAGATAGTGTGTGTGTGTGTACACATACACATGTAAATCAAACTCTGTTGCCTAAAATGACATCAGAAAAATACTGCCTTGGGGAACAACTATATAAAAGTACGTGAAAAGTAAGTTGATGGTTGAGATGAATATCATAATTCTCAGGTAAAGTAACAGCATGTATGGAGTTGTCTAACATCTGCCACAAAACAAAGAAGGCTTATCAAAGTAAACGCATCACACAAAAGTTCAGTAGTTCATTACAGTTACGAGGATGAAAATCCAAACTGTAGCTTCTATGTTTTGTGTGTTAGCCTGCTGTTATGTCCAGGAAGACTTCTGTGAGTCTGGTTCTTGTTCCTCTTATGGTACCAACACCAAGTTGTTAGGCTGCCTCAGTTTGGGGTAGCCTGGATCCCTCTGTATTTCGGGGTTTTGTTGTAGTTGTTTATCTTTTAAATATTGTAAAATTAGCATGTTCTATATTTAAAATCTCATTGGAAGCTTTTAATTTGGACACAGATAAGTCAAATATGAAAGCTTGCTTGGAATTCAATTTTTTTCTTTGTAAAACAGGAAGTATATTTAGTAATATATTTAGCACAACAACAAGGATTACAGGATCAAGGAAAATCAGATGTAAGTACTTAGCACACAGTAGACTTTTACCTTCTAAGCTTCCTTCCTTCCTTCCTAATGGTTTGATGCTTCCGTTATATTTAGATATCTGACATCCATGTAACTGGAGAGTCAGAGGACATGTCTGCGAAAGAAAGGCTGCTCCTGTGGACACAGCAGGCGACAGAAGGTTATGCCGGGGTGCGGTGTGAAAACTTTACTACCTGCTGGAGAGATGGGAAACTATTCAATGCCATCATTCATAAATACAGGTATGGAATATGCACGGTCTTCTCTTATACAAATATAAGTCATTCTTTCATCTCTGGCATTTTAAATCACATGCTGCTGTTGAACAGGCAGTGCATGCACAAAACTAATACACACAGACACACACACAAACAGACACACATGGGGTGGGGAGAGAGTGGGGGAAGGGGAATGAGCGAGCAAAACAGAGAGGTATATCTGGATTTTTTTTATACAACTTAGCAGATGCCTATAATCTGCAGGTCAATGATCTAGTTTATCTACAGGTAACCCATGAGTAGACAGGTAAAGGTTCATAGTTCACAAGTTTAACAAGGTGTGAAACTCCAGGTCATACCATTTTGTCATCCTGAGGGGTGACTGGGTAGCAGACTTGGGGCTGGTGAACAGTTTTCCTGTGAAAACTATTAAGTCTTGCTGTTAACAGTTGAAGTAACAGTGAGTGTGAAACATTGTTGTAAACACTGATTAATGTAGTTCTCACTACATCCTTGCCATCCCTGGTAATATATGAAGCTGAGACACTGGGTAATATTTGCTTAGCCACAAGATTAGTGAGTGGCAGACTTGGGATTCAGATGTGGCAGGCTGGCTCTCGAGTGTGTGCTTTTACTGTCTCACTGGAAATTAAACCCATATAAAATGTTTATTGACAACTATGGATTTAACCTTGGCTATTTACTTGATTGCCCAAACATTGTGTCCTATTGAAGAACCAAATATATTCACAAATAGATTAAGTCTAAGCTGTAAACTTATGAAACTGAAAACGTTATTGAGTATAATAAAAATCATACAAAATGAGTATCCACACTTAGCAGCCCCTATTTTTAAGCAGTCTGATGTTATGTCCTTCCATTACGGAACAATTTTTTTAAACAGAGGTGAGTGCCCGTTCTAAATTAAGAAGAATGCCTGGGTCCACTCGCCTGCCTTGCTTAGAGTTCAGACACAGAGTTCAGAGTATCACGGTGTTGCAGACATGTCCATCGTTATCCCCTGGTCCCAGGTATACCGCAGAGCTCTTTCTCTGACTCTTTTTAGGTAGTATTAAAATGTTTTCGGAGGCTAGCTTTTCTAAAATCATCTGCTTCAGAAATATCTGTATTGGTCCTGGTGGCATATACTTGTAATGTCAGCACTCAGGAAGCTGAGGCAGGAAGCTCACACATTTGAAACCACCCTATGTTCTAGAGCAGGACCTTGTCTCTAAATAAATGGGTGAGTGGAGGGAGGGAGGGAGAGGGAGGGGGGAGGGAGAGGGAGAGAGAGAGAGAGAGAGAGAGAGAGAGAGAGAGAGAGAGAGAGAGAGAGGTGATCTGTTTTTTACTTTCTCTTATGTGCATGGCTGTTTTGCGTGTGTGTTTGTTGGTGCAGCACTGGCAGCCTGGTGTCCTCGAGGGTGAGAAGAGCAGGATTGTAAATGGCTGTATGGGCAGTCGGTTCTCTGGAAGACATCAGCCTGCTCTCATAGCCGTTGAGCCATCTCTCTCCAGCCCAGAAATTGGAATTGTAGTTTTCTTCTTCACTAGAATTTCTGGTACAATTGAAAATACCAGCTCTAAACACATGTAAGGTTTCTGTTGCTCAAGTTCTTTTACAGTAGCCTGTGTCCCATAGTTGGTTTCTTACATAAAAAGCCTTAAGTCTGTAAGACTTATTTTAAAACCTTTGGGCCTTTCTTAAGAAAACAGTTGAGTTCTTTTCTTCCATCGTATGTAAGAATAAAACAGATAGCTCAACTTGCACACATTTCTTACTTAATATCTTAATTAAGTAATAAACAAGGAAAGTTTCACCTTGTGTGGGTTTGGGGTATTAACAATCATAAGAACATTTTATAGATGATTTTATATAACTATCCCCATACAGTTTGAATGTATTTAAGTTTGCTGTGGGAACCTCTGTTAAGTGTGGGTTTATCCTTTGTATTTATTTAGATAAGAAGCTTTAGTACTTATTGGATCTCATTTGGCTTCGGTAATAAAAGTTATCTGAGCTAGCAGATGGGCCTGGGTTCTAAGCAAATGGATGCCTGGTAGAGGACCTTCAGAGGAGGTGCCGTCAGGCTGCAGTAGCTAGGGTGAATGGCTGCAGTGGCCGAGGCAGGCAGCTGCAGTGTCCAGAAGACTGTAAGTTGTGTAGATCAGCTTCTCTCATCCCAGAAAGCCTAGTGGTTAGAAATGGAAGTGGATACTATCTGTCATCCAAAGTAAGCAAGTATTCCTTACATAAGAGATTTATTCAGACTTTCTTATGTAAGAAACAGTAATGTTTCGTAGTATTGTCATCTGGAATATCTTAAAGAAACAGGTTTGCTAGCCTAAGTATTCAGTAGTTAATTAACAGGTCAGTATCCTAAGGGTTTTTTTTTAATGTAGATTGGGTTTCTGATTTTTATGTCCAAAGAACCATTATATGAAGTTAAATGAAAAGTAATTTATAAGGGTAACAGACTATAAACTGAAATTGTGCACGGGGTAAAAAGAACACAGTGTTGGAAGACAGGCACTAGACATAGAATGTTAGCACCTGCAGAGACATGTAGAATGTTAGCACTCACGGGGACATATGGAATGTTAGCACTCACAGAGACATATAGAATGTTACCAAAGAGACATATAGAATGCTAACACTCAGGAGACACATAGAATGTTAGCACTCACAGAGGCACATAAAAAACCACACAGATGGATGTCTCTGCTCCAGCAGAAGTCTGTAGCAGAATATGCTAGTTTTAAAAAATTATCAAGCTGGGGCCATGGTATGCCAAGCTGGGCATGGGCCTTTAATCCCAGCACTCAAGAGACAGAGGCAGGTGGATCTCTGAGTTTGAGGGCAGCCTGGTCTACAGGACAGCCAAGGCTACTCAGAGTAACCTTGTCTCCAAAAAAAAAAAAAAACCCCTCATGAAATAGATGGTTGTCTTCACTTTTATCAATACTAAAAAATGTTCAAATGCTAATTAACATGTTCAGGACCATACACCTTTCAAGAAATAATGAATGTGACTGTTCTGATTTTGTCATTGCTGGGATAATTTCTGTCTGCTGATGATTTTAAAGAGATGGAAGTGTCGACCTGAACAGTGCGGTTCTGAATCCTTGATGATTCATGACAGTTAGCAAAGATCCAGAAAGTGTTCCTGAGCTTGAACATGTGCGTTTGTAACTGCCAGACAAATGTCTTCGTTTCTTTTTATCAATTACTGAGACACAATATTAATTGCTTAACTTACAGTTAGCTAACTATGAAAATCATGTAATATGGTAAGAACTATTAAAATAAAAATTAAAGCATATTAAAATACTTAGTTAGCTAACTATGAAAATCATGTAATATGGTAAGAACTATTAAGATAAAAATTGAAGCATATTAGCTTAAGTAAGATCAAAATTACAAGTCCTATAGTGGTGATATGTCCCATTACCCAAGAGCGATAAAGAGCCTGGCTTATGGTCCAGATAATATTGAGAAAGTAGGGAGATAATAGAGAACAGTTCTTGGGGTTTGTTGAACTAGGTCATGGATAAATAAATTTCCCCTGGTTAAATCTTACTAGATGTTGCTGCTGCTCCCAGTCCCTCCTAGGAACCTCTGCTTGTTCTGGTCAGTTTTCATGGGAAGGGTTCAAGTAATAGAAATGCCACATGCCTGCTTGTTTCGTTTGTTCACTTCACGTAGGTGTGATGCTCTTTGATCAATAATAAAATCTTTTCTCGGAAAACAGTGAGTGAGAGGTTTTCAGCATGCCTCACAGCAAAACAAATGAGCTCAGAACTTTGTTACTCAAAAGAATGCCAGGATTTGATGCCTTTAAACGAAGAATATCACAGAAGCGAAGCATTTGATGAGTCAGCTTATTACCGAGAGAGGATGAGGGAGAAATGGCAAAGAGCCAGTAGCCAGGGCATCCCAGAAGCTTTCTCTGAGCAGCATGAGAACCAGGGTGGAGGTAGCGGACATTGCTGCATGCTCTTCTGGAGGTGGAGATTCCAGGAGCACTTCGTGTGGCTTCTGACCTAAGTCTGCTCACGTCTCTGACTAAGAGAGATGAAGCTCTGACTGTGAGCTTGAACTTCTGCTCCTGAGCCTCTCCAAGGTCAGCCTCTTTTTTTTTTTTTTTTTTTGTTTTTCGAGACAGGGTTTCTCTGTATAGCCCTGGCTGTCCTGGAACTCATTCTGTAGACCAGGCTGGCCTCGAACTCAGAAATCTGCCTGCCTCTGCCTCCCAAGTGCTGGGATTAAAGGCGTGCGCCACCACCGCCCAGCTCAAGGTCAGCCTCTCTAAGGAGTTTTCCCTAGACCTCCTGAAAGCCGGGTTCCAAACAGCCGCACTGACGCAGCTGCCTATACACTAGAATGAACCTGAGTCTGTAGACCAGAAAGAGCATGGAGAAATACAGCAGGCCTTGAGACCCGGCAAGCTAATGTGGCAAACTCCAGAATCTCAGGACAGAAAGCTGAGGGTGGGTTACACTTCCAGGAGAGGTTATTTCTTCTAGTTTCTGCCTGTCCTGGTCTTGTCTTTAATTTACCCATTCAGTCTCTTCAACCCCACTTAAATCTCTGCATTCTTTCCATGAGCTTGTTTTAAATATATTAGCCAATTAACATTGAAAATTTTAGGCAATAGTTTGCAAGAGCATACCCTTTATTTTCTAATTAGGGAGGACATAATTTAGTATTAATTATTTTGTTTATAATTTGCATTTCACATTGAAATTTATTGGAGCTACTGTTCTTCACCGTATTAAAATTTTAACAATGTTTTAATTGAGTAACTTTCCCCAGAAGGCTGTGTTTAATCATATGACCTACAGGCTGGTGACTCACACTCAGTCCTGGATTCAGTCCGTCCTTAGCAGCTCAACTGGGTTGGACTGGTTTAATAGTGGGAGAAGGCCCTTCAGGGTTTGAAATGTTCTCACAGGAAGGTGTGTGAGTGTTGACTGGGTAGTTCTTTCCCTTAGTCCTTGGGCTGCAGAGTCCTGAATATTAT